CTATAGGCAAAATGCTATAGTGTTTCGCCCCGCCATGGACATGTTATGTCCATGGCTGTTTATTGAACGGAGCCGCAATGGACGCCACGTGGTCCATGGCAGTTCTACGTGTTTTTTGACTGGCACGGGCTTGTTATGTCCGTGACGGTTTGACTGCACAGACATGCTAGGTCTGTGGTGGTCTTTAATCCTCACCGATTGAAAAAATCAGACGGCGCCGATCCTATGGGCGAAAACACTGTTCATTTTCACCCATAGGCGTTGCGTAGTCTCCTTCCATATATATATATATATACTCCAAGTCATAGCCTCCTTTGGTGATGGCCAAGTAGCTCCGCAAAGTCCTTATGCAACTTTATCCTATTGTTTATTTGTCTAGTCAATTCTCAGTGCTTGTTTAGTGTTTATATTTTTATTTTTTCTAAAGTTCAGTATTCTGATGAAATATGGCTGCTTAATGTTGTTTAATTTTATAGAAATAGGGAAATTCTGGTTTTCTTAATTGAACTATTATAGGTATTGGTTGATCGCGTTCTCTTTACTGGTGTGTTTCATAAATCGACAGACAGCTGCTTGCCGTTCCTTTGTGTGCTCCTACCTTGAGTTCATCTCACCTATCTATTTTGTTGTTGCTCACTTTCCTTTCCTTGGAAGGAAGAAAATGGAAAAGGAAAGGCTTTGACTGCAAGGCGGAGGTGGAAGGCCTTAGAAAGGACTTCGAGGGCCTTAGAAAGGACTTCGAGGGCTTTATGGACGAGCTCAGATGGGTGGGCTGATTGATGGATGAAGTCACCATACTCAAGAAGGGAGTAGGTCATGGACCAGTCGAGATGCCAAAGATCTATGTGCCATAACCAATTCATTGGCACAAGGGATGCAAAGGCCTTAGAGAACTATTTATGGGAAATGGAGCATTCGGTACGAAGGGAAGAGACAGCCTTCGAAAAGACTGCTTTTTTAAAATTTGCTGCTCTTTCTCTTGACTAGAGAATGAAGGGGACAGGTTGTATACTACTCCTCGTAATTCTCTCTAGAAGTCGCCCCCCCTTGACTTCAGCGCGCTACGTTCGAACTAAACGAGAGTCAGGCTTCTCCCCTAGAGACCGCTATTCAGAAGGCTATATGAAGCAGCAGAGCTGAGCTTTTCAGTTCGGTGGCCTCTGAGCTATCGCTTTCGGCTGGCTATTGCTAGCTAAGCTACCCCGCTTCGTGCGTGCTCGTTCGGATTTGGGCTCTCTTTCACCCTAAGCTTCTTTATAGAGAAAAGCGCTTAGTAACCAGTTAGCCTTTTTTGCAGCTTTGGCTCGGTTGCCCATCACTGCCACAGTTCCCCGTTAAGCCCTTAACAGCTAGGACCTTATCGTTATGCAAGAGACCTACCCATCTCGTCATTTATATCGGCGATAGTGAGCTTTGTGTCAGACACGGGCAGGTTCGTTCCCGCGTGCAGAATATCATAAGGAGGAGATGCCTATCCTCCCTCTCGGACCCTGACCGACCGTAAACTGGTCGGTTGGTGATTGGAAAGGCTACCGATTGAGAGTAAGTCGGGCAGGCGTCTGCAAGGAAAAACTATGTACAAACCTTTCTTCCTTATTCGAATACCTTCTTTCTTCTTTACAATGTAATCGTTTGTTTCTCATTCTCCTTGACGAGCTATGAGCTTGGGATAGGAAGTGCCTCCCGCTTTATTTCAACTCCCATTCCCATAGCTACTAATTTCATCCATTGAACATGCCCAAACGGATGCTGGATATGGCAGTTCGCGAATAGATGGAGATCTGGGTGGGGTGATGGCGCATATGAGCTACTTCAGGATCGGGGACTGGATGTAGAATGGAATACGCCCATCGAGACAAGGCAAGCAATTGATCCATACCATCCGGTTCCACAGCTGGATGAGGGGAAATGCCCTACCTTTGAGTGCGGTTTGAACCATTTATTTACATCATTGGAAGTAACCAATTAGGTTTATGACGAAACCTAGAAATCGATCGCTGATTCAATTTTAGTACCTCTACCTGGTGGCTGGGTTCATTTGCTAACTGAAAGAAAAGACTTTTCTTTGAGAATGATAATACAAGAACGTAACTTCGTGTGTAGTAAAAGCAATCTACAAAGGGCATGAAATCAAATGAGTAGAGAGAATCCGACTTTTGTACGGGGTGAAGCTTATCTCTACTTCGGAGAGAATAGGTTCTGGTTCCCATACGCAGATTAGTTGGTCTGGCAGGATCGGTGCCAAGGTGGCTTTGAGGCAGAAGGGTTGGTCCCTAAATACAATTATGGTATGTTGACTAAGGGTAGTGTAGGGATCGAATCGGTCACTAGTTCAAAAAACCACTATGGGTATGCATAAAGGTAGACCTCAAGGAGGCTCCTCTCGGAGTGTCGTAGCTCTAATACTATAGAAAGGAAGAATATATTACAATTCCAGTTACTGAACCATGCAAATGGCTCTTCTAATCATTTTTCTTCTTCGTTGATATGTTGATGTACTCCCCTGTTTCATTTAGAATGATTCGTAGTGATTTTTATGTCCTTTGCATCAACTTAATTTGACATTGTTTTGTACCCTTTTTGACTGGCATGGAATTGCATCTATCTTTTCCTTCACTTTATTTGCCTATTGAGTTTTGTTGCGGGTTTTTTCTGTAATAAGTGTTCTGTTTCTACATAAGAGAGAGTGAGAGAGCTTTTAAAGCAGAAAATATGATCCCACAATAATTAGGCTTTCTAAATTCTTTTGGGCTCTGTTTCTGCAGGGACCTCAGTTGGAAGTTGCAAAATGGGGTTTAAGAAGTTTCATTGGAGTGTGTTGACTGAAAATCTACATTACTTCCATTTTTAATATTATAGTCTGGACTGTTTTCGTTTTCTTTTGGATTGCAAAATTGGTTCGTGTTTTCGGTTTCTGTGAAATTGAATCAGCATAATAAAGTTGCATTCTTGTGGTGGTGAATATGAACTTCAGCAGACTCCATGACTTAGTCATATATCTTTAAGCATAAAGTCAAGCTTTTTTTTTTTTTTGTCTTATGAAATCTCTTCCTTGAACTTGATTAGATATGGTTGTCTTTTCTCCATTTATTTCTTTCTTTAAGATAGACAGAATGCCCCCAACTACCTAAAAGACCTAGGATGTGAATCCAAATTTCTTTCTTAAATGATAGTATACATACACAGTAGGTTATAGTTTCTATTATCGACCACAAATCAATATTCTAAAAAGAAAATTATACAACTCATGAACAAAAGAGAAATTGCTGTAGTGGAAGTATTGAAATGGGGAAAGGAAGATGTGTATTTGTTGTTTCAGTGTTTTTATGGTATGTTTGTAGCTATTTCAACAAACAGATGAACAAGAGGGTGGTGTTTGTAACAAGTTAGAAGCAGCAAGTGAGGAGGGAGGGAAACTTTTTGTGTACTTCCTTCCCCACCACTTTTTGAGGTGGGTGTGTCCAAATCGTGATCATCCAAATTAGATATTATTTTGGATTTTTTAGAGCCACTATCCTGGCCAGCCAGTTCAGATCTGATTTTGGGGTGTCTATAGATAGATGTTTTGGGAGCTTCCAGGGGATATGATTTTCAAAGTAGCTTCTCCAATGAGATTTTATGTGGAGCTGAGAAAAACTCCAAATCCCTATCCACTCATCATCATCATCTTAGCATTTTCCCAATTATTTGGGGTCGGCAGTTTTGGCAAAATTTTACATTGGCTGCCTACCTAACTCAACCCAGCCCTTTTACCCGAGCATGGGACGGGTTAAGGGAAAGTTTAAGGTTATCACCCTTCTTAGACCAAATAGATGGTCCAACATTGATTTGTCAGTGACAATGGAAGACTATTTTTTGGATTTTTAGAGAAAATCCAAAAAAGTGGTTGAAGTCATCTCAAAATTGGTTTTTTGAGGTTCCGGAACATTTCTGTCTAATGCTTTGTGGGATAAAAGAAGGTTCCTCCCAAATTTAGAAACTTGGTTTAGTGGTTGACTATTTAGTTCGGGAGCACAATATATTCAAAAGAAGCAATGAAAAATAACAAGTTCAATAGGAAAGTACTAATAGTGACCCTTCGTTTGAGTTGTACTCAAACAATGAAAAATAATACTTCAATAGGCAAGTACTAATAGTGACCCTTCGTTTGAGTTGTACTTAGGCATGCCAACCAAAGACCTTTAGGAAGCTTTGGAAAATAAATATAAATCGGAATAAGGTTGTAGGTATAATCATCGGAAACTGTTGCCTTGACTTCAAGATTACGAATGACAAGTTAGTTCTTGCGCAATTGAATAAATTACAGTTAACTGGCAATGAGATAATCACTGTGGCATGAAATGATGAGGTCTTCCAACGGGCACCAATTGTTATCAAACTGCCTCCATCTTGGAAGGGTTACAGTAACATCCTAAAGCTTAAGCTTAAGGAAATGACATCGGAAGACTTATGAATCATCTTTGTGTCGAATGAGATGTGCTTTGTGATATGAAGGACAATAGCAGGTATACAGGATCGGAAGCCCCATGAAGAAGCTAAACTGAGAGCAAGTGGCATTGGGATAAGCGATAGCAAGGTAAAGAAAAATATTGAGAAAAATGATCGAAGAACCAATGATAAGAGATAATAAAAAAGAGTTGTCTGCTACATATGACTTATTTCAAAGAAGAGACTCGACTCCATGATATGAAGGAGAAAAAGGTTACAACTAGTTGCTAGGGTGCATATGACTGAAAGCTCTACAGAGAAGCCAAAGTGAGAGCCGTTGGTGCCAGGACAAGTGAGAAGAAGTCGAAAAAGATTTGAGAAAGACAAGTAACTAAAGAGGAGAAAACTGAAGGAAGTTTTTTGCTAGTTCTGTGAACTTTTGCAGAATTAACTTGCACAAGCTAATGGGATTGGTTCGTTGTCTACAAGAAAAACTTAGTAGGGATCAAGAGAGATTGGTAGATGGTTGCTAGAGCTATTAACATGTCTCCAATGACATAAGCATGTTTAATACTTACGAAATTGTGGGAGATGAGCCTCAACATTATATGGCCAATGTATCTTGCACCGAAGTAGTGGGTAAGTGGATGGTGAAGCTGAAGAATCTAGACTCCCCCAATCTTCTTAACAAGAATGTGTTAAAGCATGCTGTAGTTCGATACGCCATCTTATGAAAGACCAAAGTATCTGCTTGTAGGGAATATGCGTGTGATGTCATGTTCTGATTCACTCTTTTGATTTATGACATGGCAGAATTAGGACGTGAATTTTGTGCAGTGCGAAAAGATAGTACCTTGGCTTTAATTCTTAAAGAGTGAGAACAAAGGAAATGCTTAAGGTAGTATGTATATGATCCAAGACAGCAAGAACATGCCTTTATTAAATAGGAAGAAGTTCCAAGTTACTGGAATCGATTCACAGTGATGTCTTTGATGTTATAGATGTACAACTTTGTGGTGGCAATATATCATTTGGTATTTCCACTAAATTATTTTTCAAAATTTGCTATACAGTACATGAAATTTCAAGATATATAACCATGAAGTCGAAAACCAGTTAAATTTGAAATAAAAAAAGGTGGTGAATAGTATTTCCTTGACTCCATTAACATCTGTGAAGAAATGGAATCATTCTCTTAAGTGACACCATATGAATACCATAGTAGAATGGTTTGGCCAAAAGGAAAGACTATACATTTCCCAACATGGTTACTGTCATTCTTATTAGTTCTAATGTACCTGCTAATCTGTGGGGAGAACCCTTAATGTCTGCATGCTACATTAGTACATTATGAACTTTGGAAAGGCAAAAAACCTCATCTAGGATTCATCGAGGTTTAGGGCTGTCTCACTGATGAAAGATTTCTTGGCCTGAAGAGGGCCAAACTAATAGCTAAAACTTTAAAATGTGTTTTGGTAGGATATGCTGAACATAAAAAAGTCTACAGATTTCTGGTCCAAGAGTCAAATATGATTGTGGAATTAGCGATGCTGAATTTTACAAAAGTATTTTCATTGGCAGCAAAGATAAAGAATATTGTGATAAGCATGTAGTCAAAGGTGTGATGAGCATGACGGTCATAAAACTGAAAACCTTGGATAAGCAAGAGAGCTAGAAGCCAACTGAATTTGGACCTGAATTTCAGACTTATCTTCTAGCAGAAGTGTCTAGAAGCTTCTATGATTCATGTCATCTCTTGATGCTCCTTTTTATGGGGAAGCAGTCAACAATGAGATGGATTTTATATTCGCAGATAGAATTTGGGAGCTAGTAGTTTTACTTCTTGGTTTTAAATCTTGACAAGTTGCTAAATTTCTTAGGCAGAAAGAAGGTATTCACTTCTATGCCTAGCAAGAGTGGCTAGAATAGCTACCGTCTGCATAGTCACTGCTTTTAGCTTCTATATTCTCATAGAAAATCACCAAATGGGTGTTAAAAAATCATTAAATTGTACTCTAGATGCAAAATATGTAAGGAGCAACTAGAAGAATTTGTTGTAAAGGACAAGAACACAGAGTCTGTAAACAGGTAAAACCTAACCTAGTACGATTTGAAGATACACCGGTACAATGGCACAAGAAATTTAATGCTGTAGTCATAACTCATTGATTCTACAGATGATGCTAATAGTTGTATGTACACCAAGTCCTAAATGGCATCGTTGTTATATGCTACGATGTGAATGATGTGGTCTAGTAGGTATGGTGCATGATGAGGAGATTATTGGAATCAAGATGAGAGAGGATGGAAGGTTTATGCATTAACACTATCTCATTATATAGAGAAAATTCTTGAAAAGGTTAACCATTTTGAGTGTAACCTACTTATAAACCCATGTGATCCTCATATTTAATCAATAATAACAAGTTTATGCAATGCATTGTGTTCAACTTGATATTGCATGTACAGTGTCCGAGTAAATTTACTAGTAATTCAAGATGAGAGCATTTGAAATGCAATTTATAGGGGTCCTGTGGTGTCTCAGGAGGACTATTGAATTAGGCCTGTATTATGGAGGTGACCAACTGCACTGGAAGGGGTAAAATACTTCGGATATCGATTTCTGAAGATTCCAAATCCATTAATGGTTTGATAGTCATCTTTGGTGTGGGTGCAGCTGCTGCACAAAAGAAATATGTATATCTAGATTTACCATGGAGTCAAAAGTTAGTTGAGTCTGAAGGTCCTAATCAAGTCGCAGAATGGCTAATAAACTAGCTGCTAGACATAACACTTTTGTAAGGGCCTATATGCCTGCAGCCTCAATTTATCTTGGTTGTGAAGCTTAGTTGTGTTTGAAGCTCCTCATCAAGTTGGAGAATGGCTAATAAACTAGCTGCTGGACGTACCACTTTTGTAAGGGCCTGTGCCTGCAGCCTCAATGTATCCAATTTATCCTGGTTGTGAAGCTAACGTTCTTCGAGTGACGATTTACAATGAAAAGTCATGGAATGTCCGCATCAGGCACACTCAACTGAGGCAATTGCTCAAATTTGGCAGATCGGATAATTGAGGACCTTGCAAGGGACCAAATTTGGAATATAATCAGAGGAATGGGATTGTAGTATATTGATTGTAAGCAAGTGGAACCAACCTGGTACACAACGAGATCAGAAGTCCTATGAAGAATAGTGAGTTACTTTTAGGGAAAACTATGTATGGAAATGGTTTCAATGCTTGTATTACGAAATTGATCATTTTTTTTATTTTTGCCATAGAGTACGCCAAGACCACCCAACGGCCCTATTTTTTTTTAGTATTGCCCCCTGTTTGGCATTTCCAATCTCAGCCATGTAGGGAATCCCACAAGTGTTCGGCCATTTCTATTAGTAAGGTGTTGTTTGGTGCTACTAACACCGAACAACCACATTGTTTGGTGTTTCGAATATCGGATAGCTCAAATTATGAAAAATTTCCCTTACTTTAGGCATATCGGATTTTTGAAGCACTGAACAGTCCTACTGTTCTATATTGCTATTGTTGGACAACTCAACTTTCTAAGCTGTCT